GTTGGAAGTTTGTTACCCATCTAAAAGACAAGGAAAAAGGGGGTCCCTTTATGTTTTCCTGTCTCCTGTGTGTTCAGAGTGTAGCCTAGGAAAGACAAGACATCCCTTATTTCCTGACATCTGGCCCCCAAACAACCCATAAATGTGTGAGTGACTATACCCAAGTCAGGGAGGGTCAAGGTTGACAGGACTAGCCACCTTCTCCAGCCCTCAGCCTACCCTGCACCAGTGGATTCCTAAAATAACAATTTTGTCCCCTAACTAATTTTGGACTGGCATCTAGCCCAAATTCCCTTCCCAACCCTTTTGGGACCCTAGATTTAGTGACTCATTGGGCTTTCACTCAATCATTTGAAATTGAAATAATGGGAGAAAACCAGACTTGGAAAAAGTTTTCTTTGAGGTGGTGGTCTGAAAGGAAGAAGCCCAGTCCCATTCAAAAGATTGGAGCAATAGGGGCAGAGCGAGGAAGGGGTCCATAAAAGGGAAAATAAAGCCTGGAAGTAGGAAAAAGTAGGCTAGAAATCCGAGTGAGCTCCAGGCAGAAAAAGGAAGCAATCAGCACTTAGTAACCTGGTAGTAATGACAGAGAAAGCACCTGGAAGAAAAAAAGCCCAAAGCAGGTTGGGCATAGCTGAGTCGTCCATAAATAACACTGGGTGAGCAAGAGAAAGCAATCAGAATCCAGATAGTTGGAAAAGTACTTGAAAGTGGAGCCAACGGCCATATCCTCAACCCAAACAGACAGAGTAAGGATGGCTCTTATCCTCTTGTGAAACAGACATATTGCATCTGAATTAACGGCACCAAAACTGTTATCAGAAAGTTTAGTGCTGGTAAATACCTCAGTTCTTGTATCAGGCAAGAGAAGAATTCAAGTTGCAAGATGCAAAAATGTAGTAAAAATAATAGTAAAGTTTATTAGTAAAGAACTTAGTACAACAGGATAATAGTGGGGAGAAATGGGAAAAGGAGAAACATTTCCTCCTCCTCATGCAGGAAATGGGAATAAAGACTCTTACATGTATCTTTGTATGTATACATACCTTTTGTAAATGGTATGCTGATTTAAATGTATATACATATAATTTACATATATTCATTATTTATGTGTTATATATTTGGCTGAGCAAATGGGCAAAAATGAACAAAAATTAATTAGCCACAAGTATCCTTTTTTTTTTTTTCCTGGCAGTACTGGGATTTAAACTCAAGGCCTCACACTTGCTAGGCTGGTTCTCTACTGCTTGAGCCACACCTCAAGCCCTTTTTGCTCTAGTTATTTTGGAGATAAGGTCTCCCTTATTGCTTAGGCCAGGACAGCAATCTTTCTATTTTATGCTTCCCACCATAGCTAGGATGACAGGTGTGCACCACTGCGCCCAGTTATTGATGGAGATGGAGTTTCACAAACTTTTTTTTTTGACCCATACTGACCTCAAACTGCAATCCTCCAGAACTCAGCCTCCCAAGTAGCTAGGCTTATGTGTTTGAGCCACTGTGCCTGGCTTACAAGCATCCTTGTTAAGTACCGGGAATAGGAAAGACCCATCAGCATCAGTACTTTCATAAAATCATCATGACCAGGAAGAATTCCAGAAGTTAATCAGCACCAGATTACCAATAAACCAGTAAAAAACAGAGTTCAACAGACTGTTCTAAGAATGAGAAGGGTGAATCATAGGGTTTTAAGCAGACCAATGTTAATAATGGTAGAATAGTTTGACTAGGAACTGCTGGGCATGCAAATCAAAGGGTTTTCTGAGTTAGACACTAAGTTTCAAAAATTAAAAATCATAAGAAAGATGAGAATTTATAAGTCCTGTGATTTAAAACATAAAACTAATAAGAAATAAGTTTAATTGATCTAAATTACCTTGAAAAGTAAAACAAAGCCCTATTATCCCAATCAAGAATTATTTGCCAGGGGGAGAAATAAACCAAGCCTTGTATGCACATATGAATAATAAAAGAAAAATGAAAAAAAAAAAAAGTTCAAACCCAAATAACACTCTACAAAACACAAAAAAAAAAAAGAATTATTTGCCAGGCACCAGTGGGCTCATGCCTGTAATCCTAGCTTCTTGGGAGATTAAGATCAGGAAGATGTGGTTTGAGGCCAGTTCAGGCAAATAGTTCACAAGACCCCATATCCAAAATAACCAGAGCAAAATGGACTGGAGGTGTGGCTTAAGCAGTAAAGTACCTGCTTTGCAAGCACGAAGTCCTAGGTTCAAACCCTGGTCCCACACAAAAAGAAAAAGGAAAAGGGCTGGCGGAGAAGCTCAAGGTGGTAGAGCATCTGCCTGGCAAGTGTGAAGCCCTGAGTTCAAACCCCAGTATCACCAAAAAAAAAAAAAGGAAAAAGAAAGAAAGAATTACTTATTATCACAGATTATGTAACTTCAGCTGGTTTAAAATTATATTCCTTTTTCTACTGAATTTGTTAAGATTTCTGAAATCTCAAGAAGTAATCAAATTAATATTTAAGAAGCTATCAAAGTAAATAAAAGTGTAATTTTAAAGATATAAAACAGGACAAAAATAATGCATAAATATTTACTTCATAGCATTGACTAGGTTTAAATATAAATGTAGTTATTTTATAATTTTTATATTTGTACATCTTTTGCTGATATCTAAGGCATTTGAAGTTTTCAAAGGTATCAGATATATTAGTTTTGTAATTACAGTTTAAATTGTTTAAGGAGTTAAGTTAATCAAGTGTATTTCAATGTTGTTATTAGAAATATGACTTTAGTAAATTGAGCATTAAGCAATAAACAAATAGCTATATTCCTCTCTAGGCACAAAAACCTCCTGAATGTGAAAAAATCCATAAAACAATATTGAGTCATAAAGCACAAAGTAGGCATGTGCTTTTTCTATCCTTTGGAAAAAGAGAAGCAATAACTGTGGAACTGGAATGAGAGATTGGTTGAAAGAATTTTGGAGACCATGACACATGCACTTACTGAGAGGAAAGACAGCCAAACAGACCATTAGTCTACTGTGTGGTGAATATTTCAGAAGGAATGTTCTGGGAACACAGAGAGAGAAGTTAATCCTAGCTTCTTGGGAGGCTAAGACCCTAGGATGGTTAGGAAAGGAGGAAAATAATGTGTGCTATGCACCCATTAGATGCAGAATGTGGTACACTATAGAACACTATGTAAATGACTAGATGTTCATAACCAGATGTCATGAAACTTCACGTCAGTTCCAGTTCCCAGCATTTTTCACAATGAAGAGAAACCATGTCCTCATGGTTAGAATCTAGACATATCCCCCAGGCTGACCTAAGTGGTAGGACAGCCAGAAAAGCTGTTTGCCAAGGGCCTTCTGGGAGAAAACTGATGCTAAGGGGAAAATAAAGCAGTAGGACCTGCCTAGTCATTATCAAGCCTCAAAGACAGGAAGAGAGACAAAAGAGAGTACAATATCTGTCACTTAGATTTAGCCTTGGCTTAAATGGAGTCATGGCTAAGTCTAGAGAAAGGAAGAAGACAGAGAAATAGTGAGGGAGAGGAAACAATTTAAAAGTTTCACTAAACTTTCTGACATATTAACACTACCTTGGGATCCCTCTAATAGACTGTGACACAAAAGTGGGAAGAGATCCTTTCCTCACTCTATAATAGATAATCCAGAGCGCTATATTACCATAAATGATGATTAGAAGCAAATTAGGGAAATGAAGTTCAGAGACATTAAGGAGATACCTCAGATTCTGCAAGATAATAAGTGATAGAGTTAGAATTTGGATCCTAACATTGTAGGAATCCAGTTTCTATCCATTTTTCATTTCAACTTCTTCCTCTGCCATCTCCTAACTGTTTATTTCTAGTGATAGCTAATTCACCACATCTCATTCAAGTGGAGGACACTCAACCTCCTATACCACCTACCTTAGGATGTGAGGCAGGGCTAGTGGAGTGTCTCAAGTGGTAGAGCACCTGCCTAGCAAGCGTGAGGCTCTGAGTTCAAACCATAGTACTTCCACAAAAAAAAATAGGAAAGAAAAAATATATAAATAAATAAATAATAGGATCTGAAGCAAGTCTCTATCTCCCATGTTCCCCATTGCTGCTTTAATGTAAAAAGTCATGATCAGCCAGGCATGGTGGTGCATCCCTGTAATCCCAGAACTCAAGAGACTGAAGCAGAAAGATCAAGAGTTCAAGGACTTCCTGGACTACAAAGCACTTTGGCCATTTCTTGTTAGTCTGTCTTTATGTTCCCATATCTATATTCATACTTTGTCAATGTTCCTATAGTTTTCTCTCTTTGGCTTTCTTTCCGTCTTACTTTATCTGCAATGAGGGTACACTACTGACCCACTTCTGTGGCTGTAATCAATTCTGTGTGCTCACTCACAAAGCTGTAACTCCTCCCCAGGTATTTCTTCTGAACTGTTTGTCCAACTACCTATGAAATATTTCCTTTGAGTATTCCACAGACCCTCAAACTCAACATATCTAAAATTGAACCTGTTATTTGCTCCAGTTACCCAACCCCTCAACCGCTCCTCCTACAGTGTCCCTTAACTCATGGAATGATACTACTGTGAAATTTGTTAAAGTCAAAATGAAGTCACTTAAGACAAACCCTAACAAAATGGTTAGGAGACCATAAAGGGGAGTACCTCACATGCCTGTGCTTACAAGAATAATTGTGATAGTTCTTCAGAAGGTCTTTATGCATATGTATAGATGCCTGTGATGGAAACTTACAAGAACTTTCTGATAGCCCAAAACATTCTAAATAAGTTGCTTCTGTGAAGCCATCTCCCCAGCAACAAATGGTGTTGCATAAGTAATCACCAGCTCTGGCCCTGACCCTTTATGACACATGAACTTCAATTCAGGACACTTTTGTAAACTTCTCATTTTTGCCTTCAAAAACTTCCCCTTACCCTAACTTCCTCAGATATGCCTAAAATCTTCCACAGCAGACACATTCTGAATTATAATACCCCACTCATTCCCAAATAAACTCACTCATTTTGAAAGTCGCTCTCTCTGCTGTTGTTTTAGGTTGACATGACCATCCAACCAGGCTTTCTGATCATCATGCTTAACTCTTTCATCTCCCACATGTATCCATGGTGATTCTTCCCCTAAAATATTTTTCTACTCAGTTTGTTTTTCTCCATCCCATTCCATCCTCCAGTGTCTCATCCCGCATAATCTTGTCCTACAAACCTAACAGAGGGCGACAGGAGATGTAGGAAAGACAACAGACAGTAGACAAAACATGCATAAAGCTGGGGCCAGGTAGGCTTGTGTGCTCGATGGAGACACACCAGCACCTGCCACTTCCAGTGAGTTTATTATATACAATAGCTACACAAGGTGGAGAGGCATTTCTCGGGGGAGGGGGCATGACGCCGTGATCCTTGGGAACAGGAGGAGCCTGTGACAGCTTCTCTCCAAACATAAACATCAAAAGAAAAAACAGCTGTACTGCATCTTGCCCACTTCTGCAGCTGAGGCTGTGCCAATCAAATGTGCAAATTTACTGTGCATAACTGTACTTATTCCCTTCGGTTTGGGGCTGTGCCAAACTCAAACACGCAGCTTATTCAATATACCTGTCGGCTCCCCACACTCCAGGTGCAGGCCATCATCATCACTGATTTGGATTATGACAACAGTCTCTGAGTTAGTCTTCAGAAGTGGTCTCCTTACCCAAGTTATTTTGCCCTGTCCACTCTTATCTACAATAGGATAGCTAGATGGAAGCTCTTTTGTTTGTTTGGTTGGTTGTTTTGAGACAGGGTTTCATATAGCCCAGACAGGCCTTGAACTTAAAGTTCTCCTGCCTCAGTCTATTGAGTGCTGGGATTTGATTAAAGCTCTTCTGTGTCTTCACACTACACTCTCCACTTCCTAATCTGGTTTATAAGGCTCAGAATAATGTGACCCTATCTACCTCCAGCCTCAATTCTTGCTAGTACGTGCTTGCAGGATAGGATTCCTGCTAAATTTATTTCATTTCCTCAAATGCTTCCAGCACTTTCTTGCTTCTGAACATGGTGTTCTAGGATATTCTTCCTCCTTACCTTCACTCAGTGCAGTCCTACTCAATTTTTATGTAATTTTCCCCCACAAACCTTTCTTAACCTCCAAGTCCAGAATAAGTGGCACTTGCTTACTGTATTTTTCACTCTCAGAGCCTCATGTTAACAATGCCTATTTACATGTCCAAATCACTCCTCCCCTTATGAGCTCCATAAAGGTACGAATTGTATCTGTTTTGGTGCTTTAAAAAAAAAATCCTCACCATCTAGTAGAGTGGCACATAAACACTCAACAGCTGTTTGTTAAATAATAATTACTCACATTTATTTGGCACTTATTTTATGGCAGATAAGTTTTCCTTACATTATTTTTCTCAGCAATGCCAAAGAAAGTACTATTAAACATGAAGAAACAGAAGTTCATGCAGATTAATGTCCAAGGTTATTCAGCTAGTAAATGACAAAGCCAGATTTACACATAGGCTGTCTGACTCCAAAGATTGTATTGCTGTATGTTAATCTTTACAGTGGAAAGATGAGGCCAGGTGCCAGTGACTCAGGCCTGTCATCCTAGGTACTTGGGAGGCTGAGATCAGGAGAATTGAGGTTCGAGACCAGCCTGAGCAAGTAGTTAGAGACCCCATCTCCAAAATAACTAGAAGAAAATGGACTGGAGGCATGGCTGATGTGGTACAGTACTTGCTTGGCAAGCACAAAGCCCTGAGTTCAAACCCCAGTCCCACCAAAAAAAAAAAAGGAAAGATGAGCTAGCAAGAAAACAATACACCATACTTAACCCTTAATCCTAAAAATTGTGAGAGTTCTTATTTTAGATGTTGCCAAGTAATTCATCCCTGATTAAGTGACCCTAAGTCTTCCTTGGAAAGATTAGGAAGCAAAACCAAATACTGTATCACTACAAGATTTTATATTAACTGAAAAAACAGCCAGTTTCAAGGTGAATTTATTCAGCACTTGGTCGTTTGGATTCATAGCTCAGAGACAGTAACAATGAAAGACAAAAATAGCAGGCAGAGTGGCTCAAGTAATAACAGCACCTGCCTACAAGCATGCAACCCTGAGTTCAAACCCCAGTGCCACCAAAAAAAAGAAAAAGAAAGAAAAAAATATGACATCCCAAGGCAAAAAAAAAGTCACTTTACCCATCCATTCTTTAAACAAACATTTTATTAGCTGGGCATGGTAGTTGACACCTGTAATCCTAGCTACTTAGAAGGCAGCGATTGGGAAGATCTAGTTCAAGGCCAGCCTGTGCAAGAAGTTTGAGAGACCCCATTTCAACTAATAAAAGCTAGTCACAATAGTACATGCCTGTCATCCCAGCTTATGCAGGAAGTGTAGATATATGGAGGATCATGATCCAAGCCTGCCCAGACATGAAAGCAGGATTCCATTCAAAAAATATGTAAAGCCAAAAAAAGGCTAGAGGTGTGACTCAAGTGGTAGCATGCATTCAAACATCTGTCTTACAAAACACAAGACCCTGAGTTCAAACCTCAGTATAACCAAGAAAAAAAATGTATTCAGTGAGAACTTCATGCCAATTATTATCCTGGATAATAGAAGATAGTTGCTGTAAGAGACAAAGATTTGCAGTATCAGAGCTGCGTACTGGTGGCTCACACCTGTAATCTTAGCTACTCAGGAGGCAGAGATCAGGAGGATCACCATTTGAAGTCAGCCCAAGCAAACAGTGAGTGAGATTTTCTTTTTTTTTTTTTTAATTTTTGGGGGGTTTTGGTACTGGGGTTTGAACTCAGGGCCTTCATCTTGAGGCACTCCACCAGCCCTATTTTTCTGAAGGGTTTTTTGAGATAGGGTCTCTCGAACTATTTGCCCAGGCTGGCTTTGAATTTCGATTCTCCTGATCTCTGCTTCCTGAATAGCTAGGATTACAGGTGTGAGCCACTGGTGCCCAGCTGAGACTTTCAATTCTAATATATAAGATAACTATAATACAAAAGGTAGGAAGAGGATAAAAGGAACTTATGTGGTGGTAAAATTTCTACACCTTCCTTGAAGCAGTAAAATCCGTAAAAGAGTAGAAAAGATATACCATGTAAATACATCCAAATACAACTGAAGTAAATATATTAACATCTAATAAAATAGACTTCAGACCTAAGAAAATTACCTTAGAGAATAATAAGGATAATAAATACAAAATGATAAAAGGGTCAGTTCATCAAGAAGACATAACATTACACCTAACAATTAACTGAGCTTCAAAACACATAATGTTCACCCTGAGTATGGTGGCACATTTCTACAATCCCAGCACTCAGGAAACTGAGAAAGGAGGGTTGCAAGTTTGAGGCCAGCATGTGCTAGATAGCAAGAAAGGGAAAACTGACAGAATTGAAAGGAGAAATAGACAAATCAGCATTTACAAATGGAAACTTCAATGCCTCTGTCTCAGTAGTTGATAAAAACAATAAACAGGAAAAAAACAATAACCCAAAGGAGGAAGAAAATAAGCAAGGATATTGCAGAAAAAAAATCATCAAACAACTGGATCTAAATTACATTTATAGGGAAATCCCCCCGACAGTAGAATATACATTTACCAAAATAGACAGTGTCCTGGGTCATCAGACAAACCATAGCAAATGTAAAGGGATTGAAATAATAAATACTTTCTCTGAACACAAAGGAAATAAATTAGAAATTAGAAACAGAAAAATAATAGGAAACCTATAAACACTTCAAAATTAAACAATGTACTTTTAAAGCTTCTAAATAATATACTGACTATGAATTAAATAATACTCAGGAGAAGCTATAAAATATTTTAATTGGACAAAAAAGATGCAATTTACCAAAATTTGTGAGATGCACCAAAGCGTACTTAAGGGGAAATTTATAGCACTAAATAGTTCCGGTAAAAGAATTATCTCAAAACAATAACTTTTTTCTAATTTCTTTAAGAAATTAGGAGACAGGCACCAGTGGCTCACACCTGTAATCCTAGCTACTCAGGGGGCAGAGATCAGGAGGATCAGAGATCAGGAGGATCAAGGTTCAAAGCCAGTCCAGGCAAACAGTTCACAAGACCCTATCTTGAAAATATCCAAAACAAATCAGGGCTGGTGGAATGGCTCAGTGGTAGAGTACCTGCCTAGTAAGGGTGAGGCCCTGTTCAAGCCCCAGTACCACCAAAAAAAGAAAAAAAGAAAGAAAGAAGATAACTAACACACAACAGGACTGGTAGAGTGGGCTCAAGTGGTATAGTGCCAGCCTAGCAAGCATGAGGCCTCGAGTTCACACCTGAGTACCACCAAAAAATAGAAAGAAAAGAAATTAGAAGGAGAAGAAAGAAATAAACCCCAAACAAGCAGTATGAAGGGAAAATTTTTTAATAGAAGTCAACAGAATCTAGTTAGAATTTACTCCACAAGATGGCAGATTAGAAGTTTCCTGATGTTACTCCATAAATGAGGAGACAGAGAGAAAAGGCATAGGAAATCACAAAAGAAGTGACAGAATGGCTGGAAAGCACAGAGAAACATAAACACAACACAGAAAATGGTAGGAAACAGTCGACAGCTCTAATCCTAGTTTCCAATGAGGAAAGGCTGAAGCCACAACCACAAAGAAACCAGGCAAACCTGGTGACAACAGACTGGAAAACTTATCTGCAGGATAAACTCACACTTCCTTCAGGCTTTAAATCCAGTGTGGGGATTTGGTTTGAAAGTGACTCCTCCTGTATGGCAAGCTAGCATTGAAGAAGAAAGATGTTTTGTCACTCCCCATATCTCAGAGAGCTATAACCAGGTGCCATCCTGAGAGGGGGCCTATTGTTTGAGACTAAGATGCTCTAGGGATCTGAAAACAAAAAACAATTGCAGCTCAAAGAGCCTGGGGACAAATTGCCACAGTATCTGGTTGAGAGACAGCCATAAGAGATGGTTGTGAAAAGGAAGAGAGTCTGATGTAGACCTGCTGAGAAGTTTAGGCAACAGGGAGCTCAGGCCATCAGTGAAGGGCATGGTGATCAGTGTCCCTGCCCTCTGTGGCCAGTGCAAGCCCCATTGCCTAAGAATGACAGCAGAAACAGAGCTCTAAGCCCAAGGTTGGGGATTGCTTGTCCTCTGGGACATGTCTCCCTGCTGCATGTGGTTTGCTGCTGGGTGGGACTGAGAGCTCTGAGCCCAGTTC